TTCCTGTGCCCTGAATCTTAGAGCAGCTGGCAGTGGGCTCCCTGCCATTCTTCCTTGAGGGGCAGAGGGTGAATGGAAATGAGCAGTCACTTCAGTGACAGGCAGGGCAGCAAAACCAAGCCCTGGGGCTCCGGTGGTGGTTTCCTCCTGCCATGGGTAAGTCGCCTCCTGGCCTGACCAGCCCCAAGTACTCGTTAGAAATGGGTGGGTTTTTGCTAGAGGCTGTTTCATTTGTTTTTGTGCTGCTTAAACACATCACGCCCCTTGTGTCCAAAATTCTCTTTATCAAAGACTTTTTCTAAACAAAGTTATTTCAGAACTCATTTTAGAAAAGGTTTTGTTTTTTGTTTTTTTTACCTGAAATATAAGGAGTTAATACAAGAGCAGCTAACAATTCGCTAAGTTTAGAATATAAGAGAATGAAACTGTCGGCAACCCACCTTTTAATCATCTGTGTGAGTTACTTGGGAGTTGCTTCCAGGTCTTTGCAGTGAAGGTAAAGTGGATGGTGCATCTTAAGAACTGGTGTAGCTGCTTTGTAATCAGAACATAGAACATGAGGCTGCAGCCCGGCAGCGGCATTGGTTTTCACGGGAGGGAGACTCGTTAAGTCCTGGCTGAGCAGGCCGGCAGTGAGGACTGCTTTACCACTCACCCAGCCCAAGTGAAAGAAGCAGTTTGACCAGCAGCCACTTCCCCAGCATCTTCTGCCCTGAATTGCCAACCCTCTAGTCACCAGTCTGAGTGTTTCCTAGAATTATCTTGGGGTCGCCTTGTGTGAGATGATGTGTGTCAGACTTCTATGAGGACTGACCAGCTAATGGGTGTCTCGTTTTAGGCTAGACCAGATTACCCGCCGCTGTCGTTCTTACCTTCTGCAGTGTTACTGTGCCTACTTCTTAGAAGTCACCATCGAAACCAGGAATATATATTTCACTAGTTTGAAAAGTGAGTCAGATTCCAGGTAGTCAGCCTGCCGCAGGTCTGCAGCATCAGCATTTTCTTTCCATTGTCGGGCTCCGGAAACTAGTGTGTCTAACCGCAGGGTCCATTGCCATTTCATCCGTCGTAGGGAAACGGGAGCACTGGCGACTGACGTGCCTGGGTGCAGGGAATGCAAGTTCATTACTGGGAAGCATGTGTGTAGATGTTCAGATACATGTAGCTCGCAGCTCTGCTCAGTATTGCAAAAGGCATATAGAAGCTTAATTCATGTTAGTTTTAGCAACTGTATTGACAGCAGGTGTACGCATGCTTCAAAAAAAATGCCAGGGGTGAAGAGCCAGACATTTTGTAATATTCATTTGCCTTCTGAGAGAATGACACTGGTCACAGGGGCTCCCGGCCACTCTAATTTGAAACAGCTGAGAGCCTTCAAAGAAGAGAAAAACCTGCCGGTTGTGAGGGGGTTTGTGATGTCACTGTGGACGTTGTGATTAACTGTCAGCAGTCTCAGTTGCCAAATTCAACGTCTAGCCCACGCTGGTATTTTTGAGATGTTTAAAAGACCGTGTTAGTTAGGTGATTAGTGTTTTATTTCAGTTCACCAACCAACCATAGACAATTGCTCTTCCTGTGGTTTCCAGGCAGCTCAGACAGGCAGCTGGCTATTGTTTCCACGCTAGCCGCGAAGCAGCACTATTAATATTTTATTTAATATTGGCCCTTTCAATATGTGATAAATGTACTTCGGGCATTTAGTTCATTGTAATTGTACTGTAGGCTTTGAAACAACAGCAAACTCTTCTGTTCTTGGAAGCACACTGTCTTGCCAGGAGACCTCTGTGTTTCTTAGCTTTGGTTCCTTGTTTGGTGGATATTAATGATCCAAGGTGGTCGAGTTGCCTCATGTCCTGAGATGGAAAGCGCTTCACCTGGGATTTAGGAGCTTGCCCCGGCTCCTTTAAATTCTAGCCTCTCTTCCACCTGCTAACTTGTCCATCTCCTGTCTTATGAAAAATTCATTGCTGATTATGTGATCCTATTATAGAAAATTTAGAAAATAGAGGAGAAAAGGCTATGGCAATAATCTTGCAATATTTTCTTCATCTTTTTCTCTCTGTATATTTTCATTTGCTCTGTGTATATGCATACGTGCGTGCGTGTGTGTGTGTGTGTGTGTGTGTGTGTTAGGACTATATGGGTTGTGAGTGACAGAAACCTAGTTCCAACAAGCTTGAGCAAAGAGGGGAATTAATTGTGAGGATTGGTGTCTCTGAGCCCAAGGACAGGGACTTAGCGAGGCCTGAGGATTGGTGGAAGTGGGCCGCACCCTCCCAGTCTTTCAGCTTTTTTCTTCTCCGGCTTCTTTCTCTGTTTCTGCCTTTGTCTTTCTCTCATCCAGTTGTTTTTCACGTGGAGGAAAACATATTCAAAGAAATCTCCCAAGTTTAATTTCTTACCACTTCATCTATCCAGAGAGTTCAACCCAATTCTTGTGTGATCACAAGACCTAGCATGCAAAAGGACAGTTCCTGGGGTAACTGTTTGATAGGTGGAGGGGGGCTCAGCAGGGATTTCTATCTCTTGGCCCCCAGGCATGCTTGGGTCTTTTCTTTTCGTTTATTCAGTTCCCCAACTGCCCCTACCAACATAATCCTGCCATCCCACATCAAGCTGCAAACCCATCCCCTTTCCAATGGGAGGCAGCCCTCGGTCTTGTTCAGCTGCAGCCTCGGTGGTCTTTGTAGGGCCACTGTTCTCCAGGCCAGATGCTCCGGGCAACGTGCACGCCTCTGCTTCAGGTGTGAGCAGGTCTAGGTGAAGCTTGTCCTCATCTATCCCCTGTGGCCTAAAATAATTTTAACTACACCAAACAGTTGGTGTGCGTAGCCTCTTGATTCCAGCTGGGGCAGGCACCACCCCTGAGGCTTGTTTTTCTAGTCCAGTGGTCGGTAAACTGCGGCTCGCAAGCCACATGCAGCTCTTTGGCCCCTTGAGTGTGGCCACGAAGTTTCAATCGCACTGTACGTGCGCGCCCGCACGTGGTATTTTGTGGAAGAGCCACACTCAAGGGGCTGCAGTTTGACGACCACTGTTCTAGCCCATCTAACTAAAACTGATTTCCGAGTTCCAAAGGTGGAATTAGAAGCAGACCCTTCCTCCTCGGGTTTAAGGCTTCACCCGGAGAATAGGCTCAGCAGGAGCAATAAGGCTGGCTGTGGTTTCTCCCATCCAGGTGAGTGGGCCTTGGCTCTGGACAAAATAAAGGGGGAACTTCTCCCACTCCAGGCCAGGCACAAAGGAGGTGAGATGAGCTCTAGGTCCTGGCAGCTGTGTTGCCCCCTCGAAAAGGAATGCAGGGGCTGGAGTGTTTGTCCTGCCACCTCAGACTGTCCCAGAGAGAGCCACTTGGCTTTCCCTTTTAAGGGATTAACTGGGCATCATCCTGGCTCTTACCAAGAATGACCAGGTATTTGGGGGTCAGACTCCCATGCACAGGGGAGTAATCCCCCGAGCTTTTAGAGTTCATGCTAAAAGCCAGCCATATTTTTAAAATAACATTTGTGCCAAAATTCAAACTGTCTCAGTATAAGCAAGTTGGCCTGTTTTTAATTCAACAGCTACAGGAACCAGTTAATGTGCAGGACAGTATAGAGACAAAAGAAGAGACAAGCTCATTACAAGATGGCATTGCTGAGTGGGCCCATATCGCAAAAGCATGTTCCTAGGAAACCCTCACATCACACACACACACACACACACACACACACACACGGCTGCTCCCATGGAATCTGTGTGGATGAGGGTACGTACAATTTCTAGCAAAGCTAGAAGACAGGCAGACAAAAAGAATCTGTCCAGTATAATTATAACCACAGTTACATTAACTTTTGGATTCAGCCCAGCCAGTGTGGCTCAGTGGTTGAGCATCAACCCATTTCCAGTCAGGGCTTGCAGGTTTGATACCCGGTAGGTATTCTCATTATTGATGATTTTCTCTCTTCCTCTCCCTTTATCTGAAATCAATAAAAATGTATTTTAAAAACATTTTTAGATTCTTTATTTTTCATGTGACAACGAATATAAGCATTTTTCTGTATTGTTGTAGCTTTTCCACATGCTGTTTTAATGATTACATAATGCTTCATTGTGGGTCATAATTTATTTCAGCCATTTAGATATTATTGGAAATTCAGACCTTTCTAGGTTGGTTTTTTTTTTTTTGTATTTATAAAATGGGATATAATGAGTATCATTGTGCATAGAGCTTTTTCCATATCTGGAATTATTTCTTAAGGATATAGACATGGAATTACAGGACCAAAAATATGAGCACGTTTATACTTTCCAGAAAGACTGCACTAACCATTTTTATCAACACCAACAAGTGAATTTCACTACCTTTGGCTAGTTTCTTTAAAAAAATTTTTTTTTAATTCATTGAGCATAAAATATGCATTTTAATTTAAATTGTATTTTGAGTATAAGTGAGGAGTAATTTGGGTTATGTTTTTTATGCATTTTTGATAACATGTCTCTTTTGAAATCTTGGTGCTTTATTACTACATAAACTCATTATAGAATGGGAGCTGTTTTCCTTATTTTGCTTTAAACATTTCCCCCTAATTCTTTGCCCTTTAAAATTTCATAAGTGTATATGGGTGTGGGTGGGTGTGTTGGCATTCTTCTTTATCAGTCTTGCAAGATGGCCAAGTTTTAGAAAGTGAAATATAACTAAGAGAAGGAAGTCAGTTAAAAAGCTGAGCGTACTTTCTACCTCAGGGATTATTTCAAAATCCCTGTCCTTGTCATGTTAGGTCATAAGCCAGTCCCTCTGCAGGAAGGATTGTCACTTAGAATAGGTGACCTGGGTCCTAGTCCTGACTCAGCTGTTGTCCAGACAGGTGCCCTCGATGGGAACCTAGGCCTCCATCCTCAGTTTCCTCATCTCTAAGCTGGTGGGTTTTAGAAACTTTCAGGGGTGGAGGTCTCTGGTGGTACATGCCCCAGGTGAAGAATCATGTTGACCAGGAAGGTTCTTCTCCATCTCTTTGCAGATTTTTGGAAGTCCCAGCACAGTGACGCTTCCTGAAACCTTGCTGTTTGTGTCAACCCTGGATGGAAGTTTGCACGCTGTCAGCAAGAGGACAGGCTCAATCAAATGGACTTTAAAAGAAGGTAATTTGGATTTGGTCTTTGGGTGACATGTTCATGTGCTCTGCTGCTTCCAGGAAACATATTCCAGAAAAAGAGAAAAACAGTTATATGTTATTTAATAAAATAAAAAGGGATAATGGAGTCAAGGAGAGGATAGGGCTCAAAGGTATGTTTACAGCTTAGATTGTGATTATCTGCTAAGTACATCAGTTGAAGAGGCACTGTGGGCTGTGTGTTTTTTGTTTTCTTTGCTTCTGTCCAGATTTCATGTTTAAAGAGCTCTAGGCTTTTCTATTAATAGTTCTGGCTTGGTCTTTACAAAACACATGCTGCATTAAATTTTTTTGTTAAGTTCTAATAATTAAAATCTTGTAATCATAATTACAAGAAGGTACCTTCTCTAACCACAAATGACTCATTTGCTTTTATAGAGGCTGGGATAATTGAGGGCTGTAAGATTTGACATTCATCCAAGTTGGCCACTTGATTGGTTCTCTACATGGAGGGAAGTAAAAGACGGGACCTGTTTCTCCTTTCGTAATCTCCCACAGTTTATGGTCTTGTCTTCCTGGTGATAGTGGAGTCCTACAGCTGGGAAACTGTATTCTATTTCCCATGCAATCTTCCCAGGTAAAGCCATGCAAATCCCGGGATTTGGGGCTTTCCGTGTCATCTCTGTTATTCTGTCCAGTAATGATCCTCACTTGGCCCTAGATGAGGGCCTGACCAGCGTGTTCTCTTCCGTCACTAATCCGTGACTCATTATTGTCATGAGCACAGCAAGTGTTTTTCCTTCCTTAATAAAATGTCCCCAAATAGTATTTTAGATGGGAAAACAGGAGCCTGTGTCAGAGGCCACACGTCATCTTGTCAGTGCAGCAGCAAACCTAGTTACCATCCATCGAGGATGGCAGCTGAGGCACTACAGACTGCCCTGCCGCACCTGGCGGGGTCCTGCTTCAATCAGCAGGGGCTTTAAGCAACAGAAAGGACCAGCTCTTGGGAGTCGGTGGCCACAAGAAGATGGTAGAGCTGGGTTTTGGCATTGCATTACAAGATGTTATCTGTACCGTCTCTCATTCCTGTATAAGTCTTTTACTGCTTAAAAAAAAAAAAAAATCAGAGTTGTTGAAATTTCACAATTTCAGATTTTGTCCAAAGTTGGAAATCAACAAGGTGCAGAAGGATTGCGATAAGCATTTTTACTCTTGTCTTAAGGCTGGTCCCTTAGTGGCAGTATTCCTAGGCAGGACATTTTTGCCCCAAGGACACTTCATTCTTCTGCTTTGCTTTTTCCTGTATTGTTTTAAATTGATCTTCTCCAAGTCTTACTTTCTAGAAGTAGCCTCCGCTGTATCGGGCACAACGGTGTCCTGCCTTGTTTGTTACTTAGCCAAACATAAGAATTAGTCTGTTCTCTCCTGTAGTTTAGAGCTTAAAGGATTTGCCTCTTTTTTTTACTTAATTTAACATGTGTTTACAGAACCTGGTCTGTGAAAGATACTCTGTGGGCCCAAAGAAGAAAAAGATAGCACTGGATCTCAGGGAGCCCACAGTCTGGCAAGGAGAACTTCCGCAAAGAGCGTCTTGTGACCGCTTCACAGAGGTCCTAGGGCAGTGATGGTGAACCTTTTGAGCTCGGTGTGTCAGCATTTTGAAAAACCCTAAACTTAACTCTGGTGCCGTGTCACATATAGAAATTTTTTGATATTTGCAACCATAGTAAAACAAAGACTTATATTTTAGATATTTATTTCATATATTTAAATGCCATTTAACAAAGAAAAATCAACCAAAAAAAATGAGTTCGCGTGTCCCCTCTGACACGCGTATCATAGGTTCGCCATCACTGTCCTAGGAGCTGCCGGAGGGAGGGGGCCAGGAAAGGCCTCACGAAGCTGGGATGTTGGAGCTGAACCTTGGTGGGTAGATTGGATTCAGTCTGGAGAAGCGAGGCCTGGGGAGAAGGAAAGGAGGTAGCACGTCTAGGCAGAGCAGGGAGGAGGAGGTAAAAGGCACTTAAAGGAAGAATTAGAGAAATCTGATTAAGGTCTAATAATCTCAATATTTAATATTCTCTAAGTCTCATTGTTTTTCCGCAAATAAACTGGCTTGTTTTAGTGAAATTTAGCCCTTTCTACCAGTAGCCTCAATATATATTTCTTTACAAAGATTACAGGTGGTAATATGGAGACCCTGAGCTTTCAGTTCAATTTTATTTATTTATTTATTTAAATATTTTTATTGATTTCAGAGAGGAAGGGAACGGGAGAGATAGAAACATCAATGATGAGAGAATCATTGATCCATGGCCTCCTGCACAACCCCACTCGGGATTGAGCCCACAACCCGGGCATGGGCCCTTGACCAGAATCGAACCCAGGACCCTTCAGTCTGAAGCTCTATCCATTGAGCCAAACTGGCTAGGGCCAATTTTATCTTGCAGTTATAACCAGAGATTTCAACATTGATATTTGCAAACCACTAGCACGTAAATAGATTATAAGTGTTGAGATACTGTTCTAGGCCCTGAGGATACAAGTGAAGGAAACAGACAAAATCCTTTTCTTCATAGAGCTTTTATTCTATGGGGAAACAGATAAGGAAATAAATGACACTTAAGAGCTCTGGAGAAAAATAAAACAGGGAAGTGGAGTAGGGGGTGCCAGGCTGCTGGGGTCGGGGTGGAAGGGGCTGCAAGTTTAAACAGGGACAGCCCCACTGAGTAAGAGCTCAAGGAAGGAAGGATCAAAGATCCTCGAGCTCAAGGAACCCAACCATGCCAGCACCTGGTCTTCGACTTCTAGCCTGAAGAACTGAGAAATAAATACCAGGCTACAGTGTTTTGTTACCGCAGCCCCAGCTGACTAAAACACCCAGCCTCCGCTGTACGGGATCAGCAGGTGCTGTGTTGAGACTGAACTGATGGGGCCAGGAGGAAGCAGGAGACCAGGGGGAGGCTACTGCCCCAGTCCAGGCAAGGAAGGCCGTGGGCTTGGGCCTGCACAGTAGTGGGCAAAGTCAAATGGAAAAACCTTGCCGATGCAAACAGACACCTTTAACTCATCCAACTGGGGTTCTGCAGAATATACAGTGGGGCCTTGACTTATGAGTTTAATTCGTTCCGTGACGGAGCTCGTAACTCAAATTACTCGTATGTCAAATAAAAAAGTGAACGAGTGAGACACGTGATGCTGGGCTGATGTTGTGGCGTTCACTGTGACGTTCGCTGTGCCAACTAGCGGTGGGGTATCTGAAGCTGGCTCGTAACCCGAATTTTAGCTCGCAACTCAAAGCAAAAAATCGGCCGAGAGACGGCTCGTATCTCGAAAAACTCGTTAGTCGGGACACTCGTAAGTCAAGGCCCCACTGTATACCTGTTACTCCATTTCATGGTTTCCTAACTGTTTACTTGTTTCAGAGGCCAACAAGCTGGGAGTGTTGTTTTTTTTCTTTCCACAGAGTGGTTTTGGCAGGTGCTTTTGTTCCTCACCCAAACACGTGTTGCTGTTCCCAGAAGTGGAGATTTCTTACACCACCGTGGCAGACTGCACCTAGTGCAGAAAAAGACTTTTATTTGTTTTCCGACACTGAGTTGAGTTCTGACACTGTACATTAGCTGTGATCTGTCTAAGCTGTGATTTTTGTAATAGTAGTACCTGCTGCTGTCTGTCTGTCTCTGAAATATCACCAGTGCAGATGGTTGAGGATGTTTTATTTCTGCACTTTCTGCCCAAATGCAAACAGAGAATATTGTCCTCATGCTTTCTGTTGGATTAGTTTTACGAAGCTCGCTTCGGCCTGCTGGGGTCCAAAGGACTTTCTCTGGTATTGCCAGCTCTGGTTTACGGCTTCTTGCACTCAATTTGAAATGCTAGTTAATCGATTTTTGACACTCAGATCTTCATCAAATTGCACTTAACTCTTTAGCAACCCTACTCCCATGCCCTCCATGGCACGGAGGACTGGATCTAATTTAGAACCACCCTTTACTAATTATAAAAATATGCTAACTGCCAATTAGAGGCAAGCAATGGGTGGAAAAAAAAAAATATGCTAACTGTGCAGCATGGCTGCTTTCCCAACCAGATGGGCCCGGACTCCTGAGCTGTCCCTTGAATGGTTAATATTGGGGATTCTTATGAGGGAGGGATCAGAACTAAATTGGTTATTTGAAATTTGAAGAAAATCTTCCCACATGAGTTTCCCTTTCTTACCGTGCGCCTCTTGCTATGGTTTCTCCCGGTGCTGACAGCACGGCCCACCCAGTCTGGGAAATAGAGTGATGCTCTGCTACTCGGTCACGGAGTCCTGTCACGCAGGCTGAAGAAGTGTCTCCCAAATCTGACTCCCCCTCCCCATCCCCCTTGCTGGTGCCTTAGCCAAGCTCTCTATTCATTTCCCAGATGAATGCTGCAGCTTCCTGACGGTGGTCCCTGCACCTGTCTTATCTTCCCATTCACCCATCACACTGCTGTCAGGCGTGCCCCCTGAAAAGACTAATTGACCACACCACACTCCTGCTGAAGTACTGCTAGCAGTGCTACTCCAGGTGTGGTCTGCCCTCCTGCGTTACCTGTCCACGAGGAAAGAAGTACAAAGGGAGATAAGCATCACCCATGGTGTGATCCTTCACTGATTAGTTTGGGGAGCACTGGCCCACAGACAGAGTCAAGGCCGAGCTCCTCAGTATGCATGCAAGGCCCTTCCGAATCCGCTCTTGCCCACCTCTGCAGCCTCAACTCCCTTTTTTCCCCCAGAGGTGCGCCTTGTTGCAGCCACAACTCCTCTCCAGGCCTCGGAGACATTGGGCCTTGGCTTCTGCACCCTCCCCTCCAGCAGCCTGCACTGCTGGGCAGGCTCCTTTCATCCCAGGTTACTTGCTTGTTTCCTCAAGCAGGGTGAGCCCTTTCCTCAAGTGGGTGTTGGAGGCACTTCCTGCTGGTGGTGCGAATTTTTGTTTACATTTGTCTTCCTGCCGAATTTCTAACTCCTTGAAGGTGGGGTCTCTAAACAGCCAG